CCCTGCACCTGGCTTCAAGTTAACCTTTTCTTTCCTAGGCTCCAGGCCGGGCCCTTTACCTCCTCTGGGTAAATGTGCTGGGTCCCTGGTTTACAGCAGACAGTAGTGCCCCAGCACCAGAGCACAATGAGAAACGTCAGCGCCGACAGGAGCGGCGACAGATGAAGCGGTTATAGCCATTGACAATGTGGCCACAGGCTGCTGTAGTTCTCTCAGGCTGCACAGTCCCCATGCCTGGAGCAATGAGGGCCTAGTCCAGGGGCCAAAAGCAATCTGAGATATTTAGGGTATACTTCAGGCTATATCCTATAGGGTTGTTGAATAAATGGCTTAGAATGTGGCTAGTGGCTGTGTGAGTGATGAGGGATAAGGCAGGAAGAGCTAGTCCTATGAGATTTTGCTCCTCCTATAGACTCAGCCTGGTGGGGACTTGAACGAAGAAAAAGGCTGTTGGATTAGCTAGGAAAACTTTATTTTACTCCATGAATTCAGGGAGCTCACACATGTGTGCATGCATACACACAAACACAAACACACACACATAATACTGCTCAAGGCTTGGCCCCTGGACACAGAGTTCCAGAGCCAGTATTCTGCTTGATAGGTTTTGGGGAGGTAGCACCTTCACACCTCCAGGCCAGGACCCTTGCTCAGTCCCAGTGCCTGCACCAGGTCATCTCCGAGCCCACTCTTCAATGTCCGTCTCACTACAGGGAGAGAGCAGGGTTAGAGGGAGTTGATGGATTTAAAGTGGGCAGTGGGCTTGTGAGGGTTGGGTTACTCACAAGACTTGCGATTGCCACGTGAACGCTTGCGTTCCCTAGCAGCTAAAGCACGAGGACTGCTCTTGGTCACTGACTGCACCAGCAGGTCCATGATCTCATCTGATGTGTCACTGGAGCCTTGAGGTTCTGGTGATGCTGTGGAGGGGCTCCCTGCTGTAGGTGTCACTGGGGAGCTGCTCTGGGCCATGCCTGAGGGAGGCCACATGGGGAAGTCAGGCCAAGGTGGCCCTACAACCCATTTCCCCTGGTGGCTGTGGGTCTGACCTCTGCTGCGACGGCTGTGTGTAGTGTCCTCAGGCTTGCTGGTCAGTAGACTCTTCATACTGGCATGATTGTCAGCATCACCCTGGCCTGGCCCACTGCCTACGGCCACTGGGACAGATGGGTTGCTGGGGGCTTCCCCAGCCACACCCGAGAACTTCTCTGTCTAGGGAGGGAAGAAGGGTGAGCTGGGAGTAGCATAAGAAACCATGGGGGTGGCAGTCAAGACCAAGACCTGGAAGGGCATCCACCTCAGTGATCATGCGTCCTCGGGTTTTGTTGCGCTCACGGTAGGTGGCCCGCTTCTGCTGCTGCTGGAGCACACGTTCCCTGCAAGTCCGATACTCAAGTGCAAACTCCCGCAATGTGTTGCAGAACTGCATGATTCGTACTTCACGGGCTGCTTGCGGGGTATAGCCCAGGTAGAGCAGGAAGGCATGGAACCTAGGAAGGCCAGAGTGGGAAGGGACAGTGAGTTCTGCTTGGTGTTTTTTTGAAGGAAGGTGGTGAGCAGTTTCACTTCTGTCTGGCCCATGACCCTCCCTACCTATTGCAGACACGGCGGTGCACTACCCTTAGCATGGCAACACGGCGGGCACACTGGGCCAGGAAGTGAGTAAGGCGGGCACGCAGGGCTGGGGCCAGCTCATGCTTGGCCAGGCCCCGCAGACTCTCTTCAGCTGCCCGGCTCCGGCGCTCCAGCTGCCCCAGGTTCTCAGTCAGTTGCTCAAAGTCCACCTGAAAAAGCAGGGTGTGCATGTGCTGTTGCTACCGTGACAAGAGGCTGCCTCTGTTCCAGGCTGGCCAGCCTGAGCCCTAAGGATATAGTTGAGACCTGCCTCCTGCTTTACAAAAGCTCACAGTCTAATGCGAGAGACAGACAAGTCCAGTTGATTCAATGGGGAACAAAGGGTTTCTTGGGAGAGGTGGCAACTAAGATGAGACTGAAAGACTAAGTAAGCAGAGATGACGAAATCTGGAGAAGGGGGAGGAGCCAGGGCCAGGAATCTGCTCCCTTGTGCCCTGGTCAGTCTTTGATTCCATCTGTTGCTGGTGGGTGCTTACCTTGGCACAGCGGGTCAGGGCAGGGATTTCTGAGTAGAGGTCAGAGGAATCAGGCCGGGTCTGGAGCACCAAGGAGCAGAGATGGTGCAGCAATGATTGCCGACGCACCGTGTCCTTTACTTCTGACACCTTCTCCAGGTAGCTCAGCTCAAAGCCGCTGCTCTGAAAGGACCTCATCTGAGCCTCAGCATGTCTGGCTCCAGAGCACTGATCCCCCAGTCTTCATGAGTTCTCACCTGGGAGCCATTGAGGAAGTTGCCCACAGCTAACAGGGTAGCCAGGATGCAACGGAAGGTGGCATTCTGTACCAGCTGTTGCATGCCCACTTTGAGGTCAAACAGCGGCTCAGCAATTTCCTGGTGTGGGGAACCAGGGACTCTTCAGACTACGTAGTCATCATACTCACCTTTCCCCACTCCCTGTCCCACTCCATGACCCAGGTACCCGCTCCATGCTGTCATAGTCCAGCTTGAAGGCCCAGAGCTGTAAGCGGGCAGCCAGGCCCCCAATGGAGGCAAGGGTCATCAGGAAATTTTCAGCTGGGCCCAGAGGTATGTCAGGGTTGGCCAGCTGGGCTTCCTCAATCTTCTGCTGCTCTTCTTCTGTAGGCATCATGGTCAGTAGCTTCTGAGGATGCAACCACCACCCCATTTGGGACCTTCAGTGCAGGCCTGGGGCTTTAGGCATTGGTCTTGGATACACTCCTCCCCTCCTCATCTGGTAGAGCCCCAGGATCTGAGGATTGCTCTACAGAAATGCCATGCCCACCACTAGAGGGACAGGAAATGTCAAAGGAGAGGACCAGATCTACCTCCTCCCTCCAATACCAACAGATGGGTATCACTACCTCAATGCCATCCTTGCTGACAGCAAACTCATCAAAGTTGAGCAGGGCAGCCTTAATGACATGGACAGGTGGTAATGTTGTCAGGCCAATGTTGATGGCATTGCTGCGCTTGGGGTCCAGCACTGTGGTCATTGTCCGGCGGCCCTCACCAGCTTTCTGCAAGGTTGAGGGAAGGGCAGCATAAGACTGAGGAAAGGACTAGCTGGGTAACAATCTACAAGGACACTCCAAGGCCCTTCTCTAATGAGTTGGGATCTGGGTTCTATAAGGCATTTAGATGAAATTAGATTGCAGTTAAGGCTCTGCTGATTCCAGAGACTTTGGGCAAATCCTTTTCTTTGCCTCAGTTTCCCCAACGTGGGAAACGAATGACTAGCTCCAATAGCTCAGACTCTTGAGCTCTGATTCCCTCCCACCTCCCCGGGACTACCTTGCATATTAGTGTGTTTACCTTGGAGGGCAGCACATCCTTGGCACGAGACTCAAACAGGTGTTCCAGCCGGGCTGTGTCCACTGAGACAGACTCCAGTGAGGCCCACAGGGTGGGGCATGGCCCAAAGTGGCTTCCAGAACCTCCACGGCCCCCAGCCAGCTTTAGCTCACGCCAGAAGAGTTTTACTGTCTTTCTCTTGGTGGGGATGACTGGGCCATCAGGTGCTGAGGGTGGAAGAGGGGCAGCCAGGGGTGGAGGTGGTGGGAAGGGGCCTTTAATGGGTGGGAGAGGTGGGGGAGGGGGAGGTGGGGGACCTCCAGAAAGCAGGGGCAATGGGGGTGGTGGGGGCGGGATTCCTTGCCCGGCCTCCACAGGCTCCATGTTCAGCATGTCCTGGTCTTCATCCTCCCCCAGATCTGAGAAGTCTAGGTCCCCAATGCAGAGCCTGGGTACACGGGAAGGGAGCACCAGAATGGGCTCGGCTTTGGGGCTTGGTGGTGTCAGGGGCTCCTTAGGCTCAAGCTCAAGGCTCCGTTGGGCACGGAGCAGGACTCGGGGAACAGGACTCTGGGGTGTTTTGGGTGCAGGGGCTGTATCTGGGGAGCCCCAAAGTTCATGAGTATCTGGAAAAGGGGAAAAAGCTATCAGTGTCATGCCCTTTGTGGGGCAACAGAGCAGCAAAGGTGGATTCTGCCCACCCACCTACGCACCTGGGTGTCCATCAGCCTCATCGGACATAGCCTCAGCCAGTGTCTCTGCCCGGCCCTGCGCCAGTGCAGCCTGCCTCTCTGTTTCTGCTGCTGCCACATTTTCCAGGAACCGGGCTCTGAGGGCAGGTACTTGTCAGTAACCATGTCCAACACAACCCCAGCCCAGGTGCACATGCCTTGCAGAGCCCCTGGACACTGCCCCCAGTTGCAGCCTCACAGACACACAGGGAGCAGTCCATGCACTGAGCAGACTCAGAACCTGCCCCCACCCCAAGGCCAGCCCCTGTTCAGTCCTCCACATCTGAAAAGGGTTACTTCCAACTCAGCATTCCCAGATGAAAATACAGGGAGATGTTCTACTTAACATCCTGCTTGCAAGCTTGTTGCTATTCATGTTCGCTATTGGGATTCTATTTTTTCTTTTTATTAATGGGTTGAGTGCCATGGTGTCATCATAGTCCACAACAACCTCAAACTCTTGGGCTCAAGCTGTGCTCTTGCCTCATCCTCCCCAGTAGCTGGGAATACAGGTCCCCACCACAACACCTGGCTAGTTTTTCTGTTTTTAATAAAGGGGGGTCTCTTGCTCAGGCTGGTCTCAAACTCCTGAGCTCCAGCAATCCACCCATCTCAGCTTCCTAGAGCTAGGACTACGGGTGTGAGTCCCCATGCCCACACTCACTATCCTGATTCTAAATGAGGATCCTTAGAGGAGGGGAAGGGGATAGTTATCCCAATGAGCACATCAGGTTATCCCTCGGCATGTTTAGCAGCTTCTGAGAGCTATGGCTTATGCTTTGAAAAGGACCTGGTAAATGATAGGCACTCAGTTTATCTTGAAATAATGAACATGATCCAGTGTTTCTTTTCTGGCCGCTCCAGCCTCTGTGAGCTCTCAGTCTCTGCCCTCCTCTCAGCTTTAGGCTATCTTCTGCCCTATACTATACAGCACCCTAGATACTCCCTGCCCCATACCTGGGCTGAGGTTACGGAGGATGGGCATCTCCACCCCCATCTCTGGCCTAAGCTGTTTGTTAATGTATCACGACTGAAGCATAGGGACCACTCTGACCTTAGTAAACTGCTTCCCAGGGCTCGGTCTTTGGATTACTGAGAAGACTATAAGTCTGGGAGAGGATGGGCCTGAGAGTCCCCCAGCTCTGGCTGTACTGAGCATGTGGAACCCCAGCTAGGGGAAGCAATGCTGAAGCCCTGAGCACATGGTAGGCCTGCAGGCTGGCCTCTGTACTTACTCTAGCCTGGCCTGCCCAGTAGGGGACTGGGGGACAGGTGGGCTCTCAGGGGCGCTGGGTAGGGGGGTAAGAGGAAGAGATGGTAACTGTGGTGCCAGCTCCACAGCAAGGCCCACTTGCTCACACCCACACAGAACTGGGCAGTGATATTAGAGGTTCCTTCCCCACCA